CCCCCAAAAAAAAATTTATAGACACCTTGAGTCCAGAAATCTATGCATCCTTGCCGACCGAAGGACAGATTTATGGGTGTAACATAGCCACAGAACAAGCGAAGTAAACTGGGAAAGCTCCTAAACGAAAAGGACTGATCAATTTCTTATCTACCATGGAAGTACGCAAACTCGAACTTTGCTTGTATTTAATGCGAGCAATCGCGCCATGCAGAAAAAACATCAGACTCACAAGTGCTAACAACACGATATAGAATACCATATCAATAAGCAAATCGTCCATGAACATGCAGGAATGGGTGTATCTGAAATTTTCCAATTTTGTTCTCATTTTATTCTCATCAATCCTTACGCTGGAGCCAATCGGAAGCCGAGGAAGTTCGGGAGGGGACTGCAGTTTATTTCTACACCTTCAAGCTGAATCATTATCCCGACCACTGATATTCCAATTTCCTCACCTTTTTATTATAACCTCTCCATTACGTAGGTACGCAGATCCTCTCCGGGAGGCGGATGGGGCATTCGTCCCCTCCGCCTCCCTAATAGCCGCCTGCTAGTTGCATTTAAAAGCATTGAAATATTATGCAGTACAGAACATGCAATAATAATTTTAACGCCTTTGTCTGGATCTACGCGTAGATCGTCGAGAATGCAAAATCGTCTTTTTAATCTTCCAATAGTCATTTCTACGGTGGAGCGAATCTTGCAGTGTTCGCGGTTGAATGCGACCTTTCTTTGATCGCCGCGAACACTGCTTGGCCTATAGGGGGCCATAATTCCTCCACCGTTTGCATAACCGCTGTCACCTAGGACAGCGTATCCTTCGACTGTTCTACGCTCCCTAAACATTCTACCCGCTTCCGATTGACTCCAAACGTAGGAGTCATGCACGGACCCCGGGAATCCGGCGTTCACGTATCGGATATAGCCCCTTGCGTCGCAAATCAAGCACACATTTAGACAGGTGTAGCCCTTACGGCTCATATACTGAAAACCGTCCACTGTGGGGGCTCGTATTGGGACAAGCGTCCCATCCACACATCCAACAATGTCTAAAAGTAATCACAGAGGTTTTGTTCAAGAGGAAAACTGCAAAACCGGCTACTTACTAACAAAACGACCCAATCGCGCGAACTCGTTTGCACGTCTTCGACACCAAATAGGATCGTGAGGTTTGAAGACGATGTATCGTCTGATGATTCGTGGATGATTTAAAGCGTTTACGAATCTGGTGACAATGTTTGACACTGTTTTTTGACAGCATCCCATGGTATCAGATAGGACCACTTGATGGGAATTAGAACATAGGTATCTTATACCGATAAGAACCTGCAAAGGTGCTAATAGTGTTCGAACTAGTCGATTTCAAACGATGTCGACACAACATGTACCTGTGATCTTTTCGATAGCGACCACGGCTGCATAGCATCGTTCCCCAGCAAATCATTCAGCTCTCGCGTAATGAAGTCAATTTGATGGTCATTGAAACGAAAACGCGCTTTTATTAGCGACTGGTTTTGAGATAAATGCCCAAAATTCAAGCGCGTATACGGGACATTCCTTCGCCTTCTTTCAAAAGGCCTCCAGAACATATAAGCCATGTTCTATTTTCTAGAAATTAAACTGAAGAGTGACAATGAACCTTAAAAAAAGTACATCCAGTAATGAACTGTCTTTTTTCTAATACATTGCAAAAGTTAGAGATTTATGAGAGATCAAAAGACAAATAGAGGCGAGATTGCACATGAAAAATACTATTTCTCATGATTTAGGCAAAATAGTAACATGATCATAGGATTACTCGGGAGCCACACTTCCTTCGACGTTGGGATCGCAATATTCGTTTACCCTGAGATCAGCGGCATGGACTTCTTCAGCTTTCTACATAAATTACGATATTGACGTGCTATGTATTAGGCACTGGCCATACTTCGCCCAAAAGCGCCCCAAAGGGCCGGAACGCCTCCTCACGGAGCACTTGAGCGCTTTTGGG